ACTGTTAGTGACTAACAACAGGGGGTGTGTACTGGCAGGCCATGTGGTAACAAGGCTAGTTGTGTGTGGGGTAGGGGGCTGGGACATGGGAGAGTTTAGGCCCTAAAATTATTGAACACGATATCGAGTCTGGAGAGCTGCAGGGTCCCCAAGCGGAAAATGAAGTGTGTTTTTCTAGCTTGTGCTGAGGTTCGCTGGAACACTGTAGCAAGCCAGAGACAGAGATGTTGGCCAGGGAGCAGGATGTTGTGTTAAAGTGGCAGGCAACAGGTAGTTCAGGGTCTTTTTTGCGGCATGGTGGCTCAGTGGTTAGCACTGCTGCCTCACAGCGTCAGGGACCTGGGTTCGATTCCACCCTTGGGCGACTGTCTGTGTGGAGTTTGCTATTCTCCCCGTGTCTGTGTGGGTTTCCTCCGGGCACTCCGGTTTCTTCCCACAATCCAAAGATGTGCAGGCTAGGTGGATTGGCCATGCTAAATTGCCCGTTGTGTTGAGGGATGTGTAGCTTCGGTTGGTTATAGGGAAGTGGGTGTGAGTTGGATGCTCCAAGGGTTGGTGTGGACTTGTTGGGCCAAAGGGCCTGTTTCCTCACTGTAGGGGTTCTATGATTCTTTGCGAGCAGAACATAGATGTTCTGCGAAGTGGTTATCCAGGCTATGCTTTGTTTCCCCAATGTAGAGAAGACCCTTCCATATCCATACGTGTTTAACCTGAGAGTTTCTGCCATGATGAGCCTTTGAATGATTGATTGATTGATTTATTGTTATGTGTACCAAAGTACAGTGAAGAACTTTGTTTACGAGCAATACAAGCAGACCATCCTCAGCAAGAATGTACAGATCAAAAAGACTTGGACAGAGGCTTACAGGTTACATTGCACAGGGCATGCACTAGGCGAGATCAACGTTAGCAAGGTCATAGAACATAGAACATAGAACATTACAGCGCAGTACAGGCCCTTTGGCCCTTGATGTTGCGCCAACCTGTGAAACCAATCTGAAGCCCACCTAACCTAAACTATTCCATTATCATCCATATGTTTATCCAATGACCATTTAAATGCCCTTAAAGTTGGCGAGTCTACTACTTTTGCAGGCAGGGCATTCCACGCCCTTACTACTCTCTGAGTAAAGAACCTACCTCTGACATCTGTCCTATATCTATAACCCCTCAATTTAAAGCTATGTACCCTCGTGCTAGCCATCACCATCCGAAGAAAAAGGCTCCCACTGTCCACCCTATCTAATCCTCTGATCATCTTGTCAGTGTTATATGAGGCTAGCCAGTCTATGCATCAGTCTAATAATGGCCGGGAAGAAGCTGTTCCTGAACCTGCTGGTGCATGTATTCAGGCTTCTGTATCTTTTGCCGATGAAAAATGTTGTAGGAGATCATTACCAACGTGCAATGGGTCATTGATGATGTTAGCAGCCTTTCTGTGGCAGTGAGCCGTATAAATGGAGTCCATGGAAGGAAGGTTGTCTTCTGTGATGGTCTCGGCTGTGCACACCACCTTTTGTAGTTTCTTACAGTCCTGGGCAGAGCAGTTTCCATACCAGGCCATTATGTACACGGACAATACGTTTTAAATGGTGCATCTGTAGAAGTTGATGAGGTCCTTATGGACATGGCAAATTTCCTGAGCTACCTGAGGAAGAAGAGGTGTAGTTGTGCCTTCTTGTCCATCGCATCAATGTGGGTAGTCCAGGACAGGTAGTTGGTTTATCGTCGCTCCTAGGAACTTGACGCTCTCCACCATCTCAACCTCAGTTTCGTTGTTGTAGATGGAGGCGTGTTCTCCTCCTTTATTTCTGAAGTCAATGATCAATTCTTCAGTTTTGTCAGGATTGAGAGACAGATTGTTTTCATTGCACCGTGTCACTTGTGTTCAGTCAGTGATTTCCAGACCATATCTCTACATCCCTCTGTGATCCCACCGATCACTTAAATCCATGTCCCCTAGTCACTACAAAGGTAAAAAGCAAACCCCCCCCATCCAACCTATCCAGGCCTGTCTCAATTTTGTTCATCTCAATTAAGTATCTCCTCAGTCTCTGCTGTTCCGAAGAAAACAATAACAGTCTTTCCAATACTAAATAAACATGTTTTTGTCTTCACAGATGCTGCCAGACCTGCTGAGCTTTTCCAGCAACTTTGTTTTGATCCTGATTTACAGCATCCGCAGTTCTTTTCGTTTTTATTTAAGTGGCAAGGGAATTGGGCAAGGTTGGATAGCCTCTACTTTAATGCCAAGAGTATTAAAAGTAAGACAGATGAGTGAAAGGTGTGGGTTGACATATGAAACTACAAAGTTGTTGCCATCACAGAATCATGGTTGAGGGAGGGGCAAGACTTGCAATTTAACATTCTGGAGTACAGGATCTTCAGGCAGGACAGGGAGGGTGCAAAATTGGAGGTGTTGTCACATGATTAGTTAGAGTAAAACTTAAAGATAAAAATGGGGTCAGTCACACTGTCGGGAGTGTATTATTAACCTACAAAGTCAGTGGGTAGTTGAGTAGATATGTAGTCAATCCACTAAGGCGTGTAAGAATAATAGCAGAGTAATTAGATTAGGGGATTTTGACTACCCTAACATTAATTGGGATAATCGTAGTATAAAGGTTTGTGGGGGCAGTTTCTTGAAATGTACACAGGAGAGCTTTTTATATCAACATGTAGATAGTCCTACATGGGACAGTGCAGTGCTGGACCTATTTGTGGTAAACTAAGCCAGACAGCTTGTCAAGTTGATAGTGGGGGTGCATTTGTGATAGCGACCACAATGATGTATGTTTTAAGTTTGTCATTGAAAAGAAGAAAGATGGTCTTCATAAAGGTTTGGATTGGGCTGAGGCAGATTTAATTAAAATAAGGCAGCTTCTGACCAAAATAGATTGGGAACAGCTCTTTGAGGTAAATCTACAGCAGAACAGTGGGAGGCATTGAGAAAAGTCATCGCTCTGTCCACACAGTGAGGGAAATGGTGTCACCACATTGGCTTCCAGGTCTTACCATGTTTATATCAAAAAGTCTTCTTTTCGATGAAGTAGAGGCCGTTAGCTTTGGCTACGTGAATGGACATCCCATACTGTCATAGAATGACTGGACTAGCTTAATGTTCCTTTCCAGCTCTGTGTGAGTCATTGTAGTACGCTTTGTGGTTAACTACATAATAGTTAATTCTCATGTCTTCCAGGAGCAGGAAAACTCCATAGTTGTCCTCCTCCATGGAGCACACCAGTGGATCCGAGGCAATACCTATAGAAGCTCTTGGAGTTTGTTCTTGTGTTGATCTCATAGAAAACTAAAAATTCTAACAGGAAGACAGGTTAGATGCAGGAAGGCTGTTCCAATGATGGGGGGAGTCTCGAACCAGGGATCTTAATTTAAGATAGAGGGGTAAACCTTTCAGGAATGAGATGAGGAGAAATTTCTTCATTCACACAATGGTACCTTGAGGAATTCTTAGCCACAGAAAATGGTTGAGGCCAAAACATTGTGTTTTCAGAAAGGAGGCATATACAGTACTTGCGGCTAAAGGGATCAAAGGATATGGGACAAGGGTGGGATTAGGGTATTGAGCTTCATAATCAGCCATGGTCATATTGAATGTCAGAGCAGGCTTGAAGGGTTGGATGGCCAACTCTTGGATCTATCTTCTGCTCTCAGGCTCCTCAACCTGAGAACTTGCAGTTTTCTTGTGATATCACGATAGGCTTTTTTTAAACTCATCCTGCTCCTAAGTCCAGATATCTTCCACTGGTCCAGTATTCTCCATCCTGAAACTTCCTTCTCCCCTGGGATAATTCGGAAATTCTCTGTCTAGTTTCCTATTGGCAGATGTTTCACTTTGCCTGGAAAGTATTTTCTTCAGTTCATGTGTCTATCAGATAATCTGAAATGAATCGCTTACTCTTACTTAACATGGGTTCCGTAAGTGCCTACCTTGTAGATTGCAGATACCTGTAGACATCGTAGAGTAGTATTGGTTGGAGATTTTAATTTCCCCAGTATTGATTGGGCCACCCACAGTGTAAAAGGCCCAGATGGGGTGGAATTTGTCATATGTGTCCAAGAAAGTTTCTTAAATCAATATGTAGAACGCCCTACTCGGGAGGGTGCAACACTGGACCTCCTCTTAGGAAATGAGGTCAAGCAAGTGACTGAAGTGTCTGTCAGAGAGTGCTGTGAGCTCAGTGACCATAACTCTTTTATTTTTAACATAGTTACGGAAAAAGATAGGACAGGTCCACAGGTTAAGGTGCTGGACTGGAGCAGGGCCAATTTTGGGGCCATTAGGCAGGATCTAGCAGAGGTCGATTGGGTGAGTCTGAAGGAAAAGGAATGACTGGCAAACAGGAGGCTTTTAAAAGTGTGATATGAAGAGTTCAGGGATGGTATGTCCCTGTTAGGGTGAAGGGAAAAGCTGGCAGGTTTGGGGATCCCCTTGCTGACGAGGGATATTGAGGCTCTGGTCAGGAAAAAGAAGACATACATTGGGTTTAAGCTATCAGGTTCAAGTGAATCCCGAGATAACTGTAAAAAGTGTAGGAGCACACTTAAGAGGGAAATCAGAAGAACAAAGACAGGGTATGAGATGGAGCTGGCAGATAAAGTTAAAGATAATTCCAAGAGGTTCTATAGCTATATTAAGAGTAAAAGGCAGGGGGCCAGGAAGAGAATAAGTCCTCTTAAAGATCAGCAAGGCTGTCTATATGTGGAACCACAGGAGATGGGGAAGATTTTTAATGAATATTTCTCCTCAGTGTTTACTGAGGCGAGAATCATGGATGCTAAGGAAATAAGGGAAACAAGTGGGGACGTTTTAGACCGCATACATATCACCAGAGATGAGGTGTTTGCAGCCTTAAAGTGCATTAAGATGGATAAATTCCCTGGGCCTGATCAAGTCCATCCTCAGATATTGTGGAAGGCTAGGGAAGAAATTGCAGAGGCTCTTGTAGAGATTTTTGCTTCATCTTTAGCCACTGGTGAAGTTCCGGAAGACTGGAAGTTGGCTAATGTTTTCCATTGTTTAAGAAAGGTAGCAAAGACAAGCCTGGGAACTACAGGCCAGTGAACCTGACATCAGTGGTAGGCAAGTTATTGGAGAGGATACTGAGGGACAAGATCAACCTACTATTGGATAGTTAAGGTCTGATTAGGGATAGTTAGCATGGCTTTGTGCACGGGAAGTCATGTGTGACAAATATTTGAGATTTTTGAAGTGGTAATCAAGAAGACAGATGAGGGTAGGGTTGTGGATGTTGTCTGTATGGACTTTAGGAAGACCTTTGACAAGGTCCCACACGACAGGCTAGTCATGGAGGTTAGGTCACATGTGATCCAGGGAAAGCTAGCTAATTGGATTCAAAGTTGGCTTGACGGTAGGAAGCAGAGGGTGATGGTTGAAGGTTGTTTCTCAGACTGGAGGCCTGTGACTAGTGGTGTGCCACAGGGGTCGGTGCTGGGACCTTTGTTATTTGTTATTTACATAAATGATCTGGCTGTGAATTTACAAGGCGTGATAAGTAAATTTGTGGATGATACAAAATTAGGAGGTATCGTTGATAGTGAGGAAGGCTATCAAAAATTTCAGAGGGATCTTGATCAGATGGGGAAGTCAGCTGAGGATTAGCAAATGCAATTCAATACAGATAAGTGTGAGATGTTGCACTTTGGAAAGTCAAACCAAGGTAGGACTTGTACAGTAAATGGTAAGGTCCTGGGAAGTGTTGTGGAACAGAGGGACCTAGGAGTACAACTACATAGCACGTTGAAAGCAGCATCACAGGTAGACAGGGTGGTGAAGAAGGCATTTAGCATGCTGGCCTTCATCGGTCGAGGCAGTGAGTATAGGAGTTGGGATGTTATGTTACCGTTGTATAAGTCGTTGTTGAGGCCGCACTTGGTGTATTGTGTACAGTTTTGGTCACGGTATTGTAGGAAAGTCATAGTTAAAGTGGAGAGTGTGCAAAGAAGATTTATGAGGATGTAGCCAGGACTAGTAGGTCTGAGTTATAGGGAGGGTTTGGCCAGGATAGGACTATTCCTTGGAATGTAGGATAATGAGGGATGATATTATTGTGGTGTATAAAATCATGAGGGGCATTGGTGGGATGAATGCATATAGTCTTTTATCCCAGGGATGGGGAATTGAAAACTCGGGGGGTATAGGATTAAGGTGACAGGGGAAAGATTTAAGAAGGACCTGAGGGATGACAACTTCACGCAGAGAGTAGTGCGAATATGGAATGGGCTGCCAGAGAAACTGGTTGAGGCAGGCACAATAGCAACATTTGAAAAACATTTGGATAGATATGTGGATGGGAAGGGTTTAGGGGGAAATGGACCAAATGCCAGCAAATGGAACCAGCTGAGTGGGCACCATGGTCAGCATGGACCAGTTTGGGCCGAAGGGCCTGTTTCCATGCTGTATTACTCTATGACTGTGTTTCTATGACATGCTTATAGGATGTCTCTCTTTCTCTGTTGACAACCCAGAAGCCTTCTGCTTCTGGAGCCAACTTATCACTGACTTCTGAGTACGTCCGGATTTCTTCAAGCCCTGACTGCTTGGAGACTGCTAATGATAGCATCTCTGCTGTTATGCTCTATTCCTGAGTTTGGGTTTCTCTTTGTCTCTCATTCTTTGATGGTTATTAAACTCAAGTCATTAAATATCTCAGGAATTATTGTCCCAGGAGATATGCTGGTCATTTGGCTGAAATCCCATGAATTCCCATAAATTATGTTTTGAACTGGAAAGCTAGAATCCTGTTTACCTCTACTTATGAACTCAAGTTCCCAAAAAATAATCATACTTTGTGATCCTTTATAACACTCTACAAAAAGACTGGCAGAACTTCCCAGCAGACAGCGTAAGGGTATGAGGGAAAAGAATGAGGAAGATTGAAAGAGAAATAGAGTGAGAAATTGAAGAGGAGTAAACAGGGAATAGGGTGAAGAGCCCAGAGTAATACGTCTGCCAGACCCAGGACTGGGATCCTACTCTTAGAGCTTTTACCAGGCTTGGAAGCATCTATGCAATGGTGTTCAGGGGACAATTAAAGGATGGAAGTGTTGTGTCTGAAACGATTGATGGGGAGATTGAGAGCAGTTCTAGGGGAGTGATGGCTTTCCTTGATTTTAACTCTTTGTTTTTAGGTTTCAGCTGACATTGAAATGACCGATCCTGACGTTGGTGCCATAATGGGATTCTCCGGGTTTGGTGAGTGTTGGAAACTGACACTAGTCATATGTGAGGGGACTGGATACAGAGTGAAGCTTCCTGTACACTGTCCTCATCAAACAGTCCCAGGACAGCTACAACATGGCGTTAGATACAAAGTAAAGCTACCTCTATACTTTTAAACTGAAAGTAAAGTTCCCTTGAAAGTGTTCCCCTCAAACACTTGCAGTTTAAGCAAAATGTGGGTTGGGTACAGAAGTAATGCTGGCTCCATCCTTTTAAACTGAAAGTAAAACTCTCTGAACACTGTGTCCATGAAACACTCTCAGGTCAGGGACAGTATAAGGTTAGATACAGAGTAAAGATCTCTGTATTCTTAAAATTAAACTTCCCTCTATTTTAAACTAAAAGTAAAGCTCTCTCCACGTGATTCAGAGATAACAAGGTGTAGAGCTGGATGAACACAGCAGGTCAAGCGGCATCAGGGGAGCAGGAAAGCTGACGTTTTGGGCCTAGACCCTTCTTCAGAAAAATGAAGAAGGGTC